GAGCCAAAGAAGAGGCTTGTGCCCAAGAGCATGAACTCAGTGTTCTATTTCCCTTAAGCATTTAACTCTAAAACTGACAAATAGCGACTCAGAATCATGGCTCACTGGGAAACAAAGACAGACAGACAGCAGGCCCACAGTAATCTGTCTGCTCTAGGGCAGAATTTCCAGAATGAAGCCAGGCCGTGCTGTATAAAGCTTGACCAACAGCTCCCATGGGAGTCAAAGCCAGTCTCTGTATGTACCAGGGGCACGAAAGGACCTCAGTAGCTTGTCTGGGGTGCTTTCAGTCTCCCTGACACCAGGGAGTCACCACTGTCTACAATGTCTGGGCACACAGATGGTCTCAGAAGGAAGGATAAGCAGACAAGTGAAGCGGGCATCTCACTTTAAGGAAAGAGGTACTGAATGGGGGCTGCCTTTGCAATGAACTACACACCTTGATAACAGGAAACAACCCAAGTATTTGCCCCACACTCATAACAAGATACGTATATACGCAATAATGTCAAAGCTGATAGAAACCAATATCAAAACAATAACAAACACTATGAATGACAACAATTGCTAAACAAAACCCTATAATGAAAAGCTAGTAGCAGGAGCCATTGGTCCAGCAGCGTTTTTCCTGGCCACTCACCAAGCCAGAGCACCAACCGCTTATTAATTCTCACAATGACCCTATAAGACTGGCATGATGAGCTCATCTTACAGACGTGGAAACTGAGGCTCAGCAAGGTCAAGTGCAGAGCTGAGACTGGAATCCAGGTTGGTCTCACTACACCCGACATAGTCTCTCATTTCAGCCTTGTTTCAAGTGTTTTGCCCCATTACCAGACCTGTGCTACAAGGCTTAGAAGTCCCGGGTGGTGTAAACAGTTAAGCACTCAATTACTAACCAAGAGGTTGCTGGTTGGTAGTGCAGTGGTTAAGAGCTTGGCTGTTAACCAATCCACCAGCCGCTCCTTGGAAACACTACGGGCAGTTCTACTGTGTCCTACAGGGATGCTGTGAGTCCAAATTGACTCAACGGCATTGGGTTTGGTTTTTTGCTTTTTTTTTTTTTTTTTTTTTGAGGTTCCTTAGAAGAAAGTTCTGGCAATCTGCTTCTGAAAGGTCATGGTCTTGAAAACCCTATGGAGCACAATTCTACTCTGATACATAAGGGGTCGCCATGAGTTGGAATCAACTTGACAGCAACAGCTTTTGTTTTTTTGGTTTCAGGGAAAAGGATGACAGCTCACCCTTCATTTGGAAGGGGAATGGAGAGAGACAAGGGACTGACATGAGGCGCACGCAGATCTCCTTGGCTTTTTCTTAAAGCCAAACAAACAGAAGGAGTCACTTCTAAAAGAACACAGAGTTTTTCCTCCTCTTCTAACCTCTCCTGGGCTGGCGCCTGTGATAATTGGGAAGTACAGAATCTGGTTTTTCTGGATTGCTACCAATGCTGTGAAGAGTGTCCTGACAATAAATGCTGTTGATTGACAGTTGACGAACAATGTTCTTGAATAAGTTTTTCCTGTGCTGGGTGTTAAGCTGAGGACTGTAGTAAACAACTGCTCAACAGCCTGCTTCCTGTTCAGACAGAATTTACTATGCTTCCCCTCTGCGAGGCTCAGCCAGACGGCCAGGCGAGATGCTATCTCAGGTCCCCTTCAGTTCCATTATTCAATGACTCTATCAAGAAGAGAACACAGATCTGAAAACGTTTTTTCCCTCTAAACTCTGGGTTGGGGTTATTATTCACACACAGAAACACAGGCTCCAACGAGAGATAACGGGTGTGGAAATAAGGAGCTTCAATTCTGGTCTCATATTCTTTGACCCAGTAATTCCACTTCTGCAAATTTATCTTAAAAAAAAACTGAAAGAATAGAGCTATGTGCACAAAGATGTTTGCTTCAGTATTTTTTGGAGGCAACGCCCAACAAAATACTGTCCAATACAAGAGTGGAATGTGTTCGCTTGGTGGCATAGACAACCATCACAAATGATGACTTCAAAGACATGGGAAAATGTTTACAACAATACTTTTCAATTTGCAGTTCACTATCCACTAATGAAGGAGCCCTGGTGGCACAGTGGTTAAGTGATCAGCTGCTAAGCAAAACATCAGTGGTCTGAACCCACCAACTGCTCCTTGGGAGAAAAATCTAGCAATCTGCTTCCCTAAACATTACAGCCTTGGAAACCCTAGGAGGCTGTTCTACTCTGTTACATGGGGGTCACTATGAGTCAGAACTGACTCGAGATAGCAGTGGATTTACCGATTAATGGGCCATGAAATGAACTTAATGAGGTCTCCTGCCACCAGCTTTTGTTTTTTTTTTTTTTTTTTTAATGACATAGACTAGAATAGAAAATATCAGAGTGCATCATAGGTGGTAAAGGTATTTGTCATGAAACTTTGGTTATATGGTTAACTGGGACGTGACGTAAAATACATTTTTTACTGTAGGGTCACAGTCAAAACATTTTGAAGGCCACACGTCTACAGTGTACTGTAACTAAGCCTGGAAGGGAATACCCAGAGACTGTGTTATGAATCGTAGCATGAAGGATGCTACTTTTCATTTATAAGTTTTCTGTGATGTCTGTAGACTGTTTTTTTTTTTTTTAAACAGTAACACAAGAAAAAGGAGTGAAAACACAAGACAAAAAGGACAAATAAGAGAAGGCCATTATTAGATTCCAAGGGGATCAATGCGAGGCTTCCTAAGGAGGAGCAGGGCTCCAGGTTGGGCCTTATAGGATGACAGAATTTAAATGGGGGGTAGGTTGAACTAAAACCAGGCAGGGTAGTCTCTGAAAGGATGAAAGGAGTAACAATGCACAAACAGCAGAAGAGAAACTAGATAACTGGGAGCTCCTATAAATCAAACACTTATGCTCATCAAAAGACAACCTACACAATGGGAAAAAATTTTTGGCTACAACAAATCCGATTAGTATCTAATCTTTAAAATCTACAAGATTCTGCAAAACCCCAACAGCAAAAAGACAAATAACCCAATTAAAAAATGGGCAAAGGATATGAACAGGCACTACACCAAAGAAGGTATTCAGGCGGCTAACAGAGAAACATGAGGAAATGCTCACGATCATTAGCTGTTAGGGAAATGCAAATCAAAACTATGATGAGATACCATCTCACCCCAACAAGGCTGGCCTTAATCCAAAAAACACAAAATAATAAATGCTGGAGAGGTTGTGGAGAGACTGGAACACTTATACACTGTTGGTGGGAATGTAAAATGGTATAATCACT